TAGTTAATCATATGCAAAAGTATGGATCAAAATGAAATGAGAGGTAGCACTGGCCACAGCGCCATCTTCCCAGAGGAACTCCCTTTAGTTTTATAATAACTAAACTGTAGTCTGTTATGATTTAATTCCCCTTTAAATTTAGTCACTTAAGCACATGTCTAGTGTACATATTATGTACATATCATGTTCAAAATATGTTTTAAGAGAAAATAGACATTGTTATTACCAAGGGAGTCTGACCACTCTGATTTAAAGAAATGCAATGAGCATCTTGGGATTCCTGTATTCAAAAATTTTAAAGGAACATGTGTAACATATCTGATATAACAGGAATGTTTGGAACTCATTTCTACAGCCTCGTTTCCTGCATGAGCAAAAATTCTAAAGTCAAGTATAGAATTCACCAACAACAGAAACACTTGAAGTGACTCTGAGCTACAGCCGAGCTGTCTTGTAATCGATCTATTGATCTATGTATAGATCCCCAATGAAGCAAAGTGAATTCTAATTACTGAATCCACTTTAGGCGTGTCACTAGAAGACATCCCTTCATTGTCCAGACGTTCTGTGTTCTAGCAGAAATGGAAGATTATAGTGCAACAGAAATGAGAAAATCAGAGTTGACATACAGGATTAGAACCCAGGAAAAAGTCTATTGAAATCTGTGAAACCTGTTACAGTAGTTTTGATAATCTTTCTTTAATGTCTTGTACAAAGTTAGATTCAGTAGCACAGGACTGTCTGCTGTGTGCTGCTCTCTTTCTTTAAAAATACAAGAGTGTTATCTCAGTTTCTCTCAGTTTGGCATTCATTGTCACAGTTGCTTCACTCAAAGATGTGTCTCTGATTCCAGGTCAAAGTGGTGATTCTTGGCCAGGATCCGTATCACGGCCCCAACCAGGCTCATGGGTTGTGCTTTAGTGTCAAAAGGCCGGTTAATCCTCCACCCAGGTTTGAAGCCTTTTCAGTGTCTCTGATGGAAGAAAATACATGATTCCTTTTCTTTTGATTATACTGTGAACACAGAGTGTTTACCAGCCTGCTGTCATGACAGTCTCTGCACAGATACATGTAGTTGTTATGGAAACTTGAGCTCAGGGAAGGAGATATGAGTTTGTGGGGTGAGAGGACACTATATAATCTGGTGATGAGTCAGTCTGATTCCATGATTGCTACGTCTTTGATCCTTTTCATTACCAGTTTGGAGAACATGTACAAAGAGCTGGTGTCTGATATTGAAGGCTTTCAGCACCCGGGACACGGAGATCTGACTGGATGGGCCAAACAAGGTACTTTCTTTATTTCTTTTTTTTTTAAAGTCGTTTGTCTGCTGAATGTTTACACACCGTTAAACAACCAGAGAGCTCCATCTGTGACCTCGCTCACCAGGTGTGCTGTTGCTCAACGCCGTGTTGACTGTCCGAGCGCACCAGGCCAACTCCCACAAAGACCGAGGCTGGGAGACCTTCACTGACGCAGTGGTGCAGTGGCTCAGCACCAACCTGGAGGGTGTCGTCTTCATGCTGTGGGGTTCATATGCTCAGAAGAAAGGCGCTGCTATAAACAGGGTGGGTCTGCTCTGCTGTCTGAATGCAAACACTTACTGCAAGTTTCCAGAGAAGGAAAGGACGGCTGGAGGACACTGCTTCATTCACAGCCTGATTTTCTACAACATATACATTCCGGTGCCCCCACCGGGACGCGAAGAAGGTTGCCGGTTCACGTCCCGGTGGGGGCA